AGGTCCGTCTTGGACGTGTTCAGGTTCGTTCTGGACGTGTTCAGGTCCGTCTTGGACGTATTCAGATGAATCTTGGACGTTTAACTCGGTCCAGATCGCATTAAAATATACTCTAAACGTATTCAACTCTGTACTGGATGTGTTTAAGTCCATCCTAAACGTATTCAACTCTCCATCCCTCATACATTATTTTTTTCTTCTCTCTCTCCCACACTCCCTCTCTCCCTCCCACACTCCCTCTCTCCCTCCTACACACCTGGAAGATGTTGTTGGAGTCTTGCGAGAGAATCATAACACACTGGTCGAAGTGGTGGTGTTCCATGGTGGAGGTGGAGTACAGGATTGCCAGAGGACTGTCAGTCTTGGTCTGGAAGCTGTTGTTGGTGCCTCTGTGATCCAGGTCGTGGCACAGGCAGGCTACCAGCAACCCCAGCATCTGTGCCACGTAGTGCCACACACACACATGGAGAAATGTTATTGAACATCGTCAGTAAGTATTGACTTGAAGGGCAGTTGAGGCATGCAGCTTACAGGGGCTATCCCTCACAGTGCAGCGGGCCCCCATACTATAGCAGGGCCCCCTGTATGGGGCCCCCCCTCATAGTGCAGCGAGCCCCCAACACAGTGACCCCACAATGTATTGCGGGGGCCCCCACACTATAGCAGGGGCCCCCACACTATAGGGGAGGGCCCCACACTATAGCAGGACCCCCTGTATTTAGTAATTAGTGTACCAACTGAAGAATGTTACAGTATTAACCACTTCCGGATGAGAGAAAAACCTCTTGAGATCGGTGAGAGGCTCTTAATCCAAGGGATGGGACCTACCCTCCCTTTCCTCGAATAGAAGCGGATGGCTGCATGACTCCCCTACGGGTTTACCGCTTCCCCGCATGAACCAATGCTAATGAGGGTGGTGCCTGGATCAAATCTGATCACGTCGGATCAAATATGGCCTGGGATGGTCAGATTTGATTCGAGGAAGAGATGAGTAAGCTCCAAATCTTCGGATTAAGAGCTCTCACCTGGTAAGCGATTTAAAAAAATATTTTTTTTATGAAGTTTCAACGTAATTGAAATATAAATATAAATTCAAAGATCTAATTTCACTTATCTAAATTCAAAGGTCTAAATTCAAAGATCTAAATTCAAAGGTCTAAATTCAAAGATCTAATTTCACTTATCTAAATTCAAAGATTTAAATTCAAAGATCTAAATTCAAAGGTCTAAATTCAAAGATCTAAATTCAAAGGTCTAAATTCAAAGATCTAAATTCAAAGATCTAAATTCAAAGATCTAAATTCAAAGATCTAAATTCAAAGATCTAAATTCAAAGATTTAAATTCAAAGATCTAAATTCAAAGATCTAAATTCAAAGATTTAAATTCAAAGATTTAAATTCAAAGGTCTAAATTCAAAGATCTAAATTCAAAGATCTAAATTCAAAGATCTAAATTCAAAGGTGTAAATTCAAAGATCTAAATTCAAAGGTGTAAATTCAAAGATCTAAATTCAAAGATCTAAATTCAAAGATCTAAATTCAAAGATCTAAATTCAAAGGTCTAAATTCAAATATCTAAATTCAAAGATTAAAATTGAAAGATCTAAATTCAAAGATCTAAATTCAAAGATCTAAATTCAAAGGTCTAAATTCAAAGATCTAAATTCAAAGATCAAAATTGAAAGACCTAAATTCAAAGATCTAAATTCAAAGATCTAAATTCAAAGATCTAAATTCAAAGGTCTAAATTCAAAGATCAAAATTGAAAGATCTAAATTCAAAGATCTAAATTCAAAGATCAAAATTGAAAGATCTAAATTCAAAGATCTAAATTCAAAGATCTAAATTCAAAGATCTAAATTCAAAGATCTAAATTCAAAGGTCTAAATTCAAAGATCTAAATTCAAATATCTAAATTCAAAGATCTAAATTCAAAGATCTAAATTCAAAGATCTAAATTCAAAGATCTAAATTCAAAGGTCTAAATTCAAAGATCTAAATTCAAAGATCAAAATTGAAAGATCTAAATTCAAAGATCTAAATTCAAAGATCTAAATTGGAAGATCAAAATTAAAAGATCTAAATTGAAAGATCTAAATTCAAAGATCTAAATTCAAAGATCAAAATTGAAAGATCTACATTCAAAGATCTAAATTCAAAGATCTAAACTGAAAGATCAAAATTAAAAGATCTAAATTGAAAGATCTAAATTCAAAGCTCTAAATTCAAAGCGATAAATTCTAATGAGACATAATGACTGTCTTGCACTGAGAACCCTCAGTGTACTTCTGTATCAACACATAAACAGAAACAGTCAAACAGAAGACAACAGAAACAGTCAAACAGAAGACAACAGAAAAGACAAATAAGTAGACGGAAACAAAAAAATCAGATGGGTAGGAAAAAAACAGAAGCAGAAAAAATAACAGATAAGTGGAAGAAAACAGAAAAGCAAATAAGAGGACACAGGAAAACAGGTAAGTGCAGAACAGTAGAGAGAGAGAGAGAGAGAGGAGAGAGAGAGAGAGAGAGGAGAGAGAGATGAGAGGGAGGGAGAGAGAGAGAGAGAGAGAGAGGAGAGAGAGAGAGGAGAGAGAGGAGAGGGAGAGGAGAGAGAGAGGGAGAGAGAGGAGAGAGAGAGAGTGAGAGAGAGGAGAGAGAGAGGAGAGAGGAGAGAGAGAGAGAGAGAGAGAGAGGAGAGAGAGAGAGAGAGAGAGGAGTAGAGGAGAGGAGAGAGATGGAGAGAGAGGGAGAGAGAGAGAGAGATGAGGAGAGATGAGAGAGGAGGAGAGAGAGAGAGAGAGATGAGAGAAGGAGAGAGAGACGAGAAGAGGAGAGATGAGGAGAGAGAGAGAGAGAGAGAGTCCACTCTACCTCCAGGTCAGTCATGAACTGTTCCATCTTGCCAGTCTTAAGTAAGGCAAACATAGTCTGAGCGACCGTGACTGCGTGTCTCCAGTTGTGGTACTTCACTGGTCGATAATTCTTCTTTACACTCAGCAACCACCGACACAACACCTGCAAATACGCACACAACACCTGTAAATACGCACACAACACCTGTAAATACGCACACAACACCTGGAAATACGCACATCTGTAAATACGTACGCAACACCTGTAAACGCGCTCATAATATATGTTAAACACATTCACAACACCTAAATACACAAATAAACACGTGTTTTTTGTGTGTTCACATCTGAGAACACACATAAAGCACGTGTTAATACACATGGCCTCTGTAAAATACACACTAACACATACACAACACAACACACACACACACACACACACACACACACACACACACACACACACACACACACACACACACACACACACACACACACACACACACACCGTCATGTACACACGTCATACTACATAAGTATGACTAATCTTACATGGGAGTATACGGTGAATCACGCAAGAAAAAGGACGCACTTAGGACTCCTATAGTGGATGCGTTTCGGTCCTGGGACCGCCGTTTCGGTCATGGGACCGCCGTCTCTGCTCTTGGAGTGACCAAGTTCCACATTTTCTTTTCTGAAGCATTGATCAAGTCTCTGAGGAACCAGTCCTAACATTTTTACGAGGTGTCTGGGCGATGAAGATTTGGGTGTGGGAGTGACACCGTATTGGAGGGGACTGACCTCGTACAGGATGGGACTGACCTCATGTTTGATGGGACTGACCTTGTACTAGATGGAACTGACTTTGTATTGGATGGGAGGGACTTCGTACAGGATGGGAATGACTCGTATTGGATGTGACTGACCTCGTACTAGATGGGAGTGACCTCGTATTGGATGTAACTGGCCTCGTACTAGATGGGAGTGACCTCGTATTGGATGTGACTGACCTCGTACTAGATGGGAGTTACCTCGTATTAAATGGGAGTGACCTTGTACTGGATGGGACTGACCTCGTACTGAATGAGACTGACCTCGTACTGAATGAGACTGACCTCGTACTGGATGGGAGTGACCTCGTACTGGATGGGAGTGACCGCGTACTAGATGGGTCTGACCTCGTATTGGATGGGAGTGACCTCGAACTGGATGGGACTGACCTCGTATTGGATGTGACTGACCTCGTACTAGATGGGAGTGACCTCGTATTGGATGTGACTGACCTCGTACTAGATGGGAGTGGCCTCGTATTGGATGTGACTGACCTCGTACTAGATGGGAGTGACCTCGTATTAGATGGGAGTGACCTTGTACTGGATGGGACTGACCTCGTACTGAATGAGACTGACCTCGTACTGGAAGGGACTGACCTCGCACTGAATGAGACTGACCTCGTACTGAATAAGACTGACCTCGTACTGAATGAGACTGACCTCGTACTGGAAGGGACTGATCTCGTACTGAATGAGACTGACCTCGTACTGAATAAGACTGACCTCGTACTGAATGAGACTGACCTCGTACTGGATGGGACTGACCTCGTACTGGATGGACTGACCTCGCACTGGATGGGACTGACCTCGTAGGGGATGTGGAAGCAGCTGAGGAGATCCAGATCCATAAACATTCTGACGACGCTCTTACACGTCTCTTCGTCCGTCAAGACGCAGTCACAGAAGTCGAAGCTGTGAGGAGAGAGATAAAGTAGGGGGATGAAGCAGGAGAAGGTGAGGGGTGAGAGAGAGAGAAAAAAAGAAGAGGTAAGGAAGAGAAGGTAATGGAGAGGAAAAATAGCTGGAGCAAGAGAGAAACTGTGATGAAGTAGAATAAGAGTTAAGATACTTATAGGAGGAGGTAAGAAAACTGAAATGAAGAAAAGGCATATCTTAAGTATATGATATATATATATATATATATATATATATATATATTATATATATATATATATATATATATATATATATATAATATATATATATATATATATATATATATATATATATATATATATATATATAATTATATATATATATATATATATATGCAATCAGTCGCAGATAGGCGATCTCAGCCATGCCAGACAAACCACAGGGGGTGGAAATCTTAAGCTCAAGTACGTTCACACTTCTCAGCGCGTCATCAGGATCTGTGCAATGTTGCAAGACAGCAACTAAAGCAAGGGGAGTGTTCTCAGAGTAGAGTAGTGTGGGTGTGTCACCAGCCACAGCTTCTCTCCGAATGTGGTCAAAGGTTGGTGTCAACCCACACCACCACCATCCTCCTACTCCCCATATGAGGTAGGAGGGTTTCTGAGATGTCAAGTATGAAATTAGATGATATAATAGTCAGCCCCAAGCTTTTTCTAGCCGCTTATAAAAGATCATGTGATTAGAGAAAATGCTGTTCTCATTGTATACTATATATATATCGATTGCTATTATTCTGTGCAACCCTTTTAATTAATAAAAGAAAGGAATAGAATGTGCTCTTTGTCCATTTAAATGTCTCTTCTAGGGTAGTTGAAAGTTCTCAGGGTACTCAGAAGTATCTCTCCTATATATCCTTCTCAGTGTCGGTTAATATGCCTTACTTGGGAATCTATACATTTCCGATATTTCTATGGTCCAAATTTCTACTAATACCCTTTAATCCCTACCTATGTTATTCCATAATCTTGTGTATCTGTCACTGTATGGTACACTAACAGCTAATCGCATTATATAAACATTCACAACAGACGTAGTATGAAATTTTGGCGCTTAGACAGCTGGTCAAGCGTCACCAATGCATCAAGTGACCATCTGGCATAATGAGCAATCCTGTGATTTTGTATAGCATTGTTGTTTAAGATTGTGTACAACCCATAATTTGAGTTATATACTGTAATCCTTTCATGTTTCAAGAGAGAAGATTCAATTATGTTTCATTCCACCCACTCCGGTGGGTGACTATAGGAACTAAAGTGGTTAAAAATAGCATTCTACTCCTGCCCTGTCCTGACTGAGTATTTATGTTGGGTTATTCTGTTTTCCAGAAATTTACCTGTTTGACCAATATATGAGAGAGGACACTGAGTACAACGGAACCTTGTAAACCCCACCAACTTTGTTGGAGGGTGCGTTTTTAATCAGCCTTTGTTTCACAGTCCCTGTGTTTTTGAAAGCAGGGTTTATATTGATCTTTTTAATGCTTCACATAGGCAAACCAGATTCTTATTGTATGGCAACACTAGTACATTTTTCCTGGCCATCACTTCCTTAGGTTCAGTCCTGTAGAAAGTCTTTCTTGTTGACATTAGTGCCTTCTCGACAAAACCCATAGAATATCTCAGTTTTGTGGTTATGTTGAATATCTTGATGTTTCGTCCTCTAAGAACTCTGGACGGCAGATGCGCAAGGCTCTCAAGAACATTGTGAGGAACACACTCCTCTTTACCCTGGTTTCGTGATTGGAATAGTAGTGAATGTATGACGACACACTGGTGGACTTCCTATAGACTGTGAATTTAAATTTTCTATTGACACGGTGGATTAAAACATCTGGGCACGGCAAAGTGTTGTTTATTTCATATTCTGTGGTGAACGGAATGGAAGGTACTAAGCCATTGAGTCAGGAGTGTGATCCTCACAATGTTCTTGAGAGCCTTGCGCATCTACAGTCCAGAGTACTTAGAGGATGAAGGAAGTGATGGCCAGGAAAAATGTACTAGTGTTGCCATACAATAAGAATCTGGTTTGCCTATGTGAGGCATTAAAAAGCTCAATGTAAACCCTGCTTTCAAAAACACAGGGACTGTGAAACAAAGGCTGATTAAAAACGCACCCTCCAACAAAGTTGGTGGGGTTTACAAGGTTCCATGTACTCAGTGTCCTCTCTCATATATTGGTCAAAGAGGTAAATTTCTGGAAGCCAGAATAACCCAACATAAATACTCAGCCAGGACAGGGCAGGAGTCGAATGCTATCTTTAACCACTTTAGTTCCTGTAGTCACCCACCAGAGTGGGATGCTGCCCAGATTATTGTAACAAACAGTTCTGTCATGGAAAGAAACATAATTGAATCTTCTCTCTTGAAACATGAAAGGAATACAGCATTTAACTCAAATTATGGATTATACAAGCTCGGTAGCTATTTAGTAGAGTCTATTGTACACAGTCTTAAACAACAATGCTATACAAAATCACAGGATTGCTCATTATGCCAGGTGGTCACTTGATGCATTGGTGACACTCGACCAGCTGTCTAAGCGCCAAAACTTCATACTACGTCAGTTGTGAATGTTTATATAATGCGATTAGCTGTTAGTGTACCATACAGTGACAGATACACAAGATTACGGAATAACATAAGTAGGGATTAAAGGATATTAGTAGAAATTTAGACCATCGAAATATTACCGGAAAGGTATAGAAGTTTCCTAAGTTAGGTATATTAACCGACACTGAGAAGAATGTATAGGAGAGATACTTCTGAGTACCCTGAGAACTTTCAAGTATCCAAGAGGCGACATTTAAACGGGAAAAGAGTACATTCTATTCCTTTCTTTTATTAATTAAAAAGGCTATACTGAATAATAGCAATCGATATATATAGTATCCAGTGAAAAAAATATTTTCTCAAATTACATGACCTTTTGTAAGAGGCTAGAAAAAGCTCGCGGCTGGCTGTTATATCTTCTAATTTCATTCTTGACATCTCAGAAACCTTCCTACCCCATATGGGGAGTAGGGGGATGGTGGTGGTGTGGGTTGGCACCAACCGTTGACCACATACTGAGAGAAGCTGTGGCTGGTGACACACCTGCACTACACTACTCTGAGAACACTCCCCTTGCTTTAGTTGCTGTCTTGCAACATTGTATAGTTCCTGAAAATGCACTGAGAAGTTTAAAAGTATTTGAGCCAAATATTTCCACCCCCGTTGCTTGTCTTGCATATATATATATATATATATATATATATATATATATATATAATATATATATATATATATATATATATATATATATATATATATATATATATATATATATATAATATATTTATATATATATATATATATATATATATATATATATATAATATATAATTAATTATATATATATATATATTTATATTATATATATAATATTATATAACGGTTAATCCTTAAGCTCTATTTGTGACTGAGTAATAATAATATAATAATAATAATAATAATAATAATAATTAATAATATATAATAATAATAATAATTAGTATAAATAATAAGGTATCTTTATGTGTACAATGACATATATAGTTAAACAGTCGGCTTGACATCAGGACATTTCACATATTAAAAAGCGTTTTGAGAGATTCGACTTAGGTCAGTTTGTCCCAGGATCGACAACACCAGTGTAACCCACTTACACTTTAATGATGGGGCAACATAAACAACCGGTGTAAGGAAACACGTCCAATGTTTCTACCCTCGCCGGGAATCGAACCCGGACTCTCGCCGTTTGAAGTGAGAACTTTTGCCACTAGGCCACGAGAGGGAACAGACCTTTTGATGGTTGTACCCACAACCAATATTCTATGTAAAACTTATACTGAATGGGGGAATGTTCTAAGAAATCGAATTATTTGTTTAGTGTTAAATTCTCTCTCTCTCCCTATCTCTCTCCTACACCATCGTTCTGACAAGGTTATTTCATGTCCTGCCTTTCTCTTAGTCTGAAAGGCCTACCTACGCCTTACCTTCATCATAGTGTGTTGTTATGGGTGGTGTGTCTGCGTGTGTGTTGTGTGTGTGTGTGAGTGTGTGTGTCTGTGTGTACTGTTCTGTGTGTGTGTGTGTGTGTGTGTGTGTGTGTGTGTGTGTCCCAATTAATATTTGCACTAATAGCTCATTGCAGTTGAGACCGAGTGTGGACGTGTAAACTGCTCATTACTTTATACTTTGTTCATGATTGTAACTATGTATAAGACTTGTAGATGATTCATTATCTTTGTAACTTGTGAGTTCATTACATTTGTACCTAGTTCAGCTATCAAAACTCTGGGGTCCAGTCCCTGGACCCATTATGTACCTCTGTAATCCTTTGCCTTCCGCCCACACTATTTATGGGGTGCAGAATGAATATAATAAACTAAAAATCTAACATATCATTATAAGTTAAGTCTTTATTAACTCTCACTTGTAAAGGTCGAAGTCCTGAGAGGTGGGTATCTCAGCGGTTCTGAGACGTTCCGTGTCATCTTGAGACGCCGTGGCGTGGTAGCTGAGACACTCCAGGGCCACCTGCTGCCGTGCCATCAGTCGACCTGAAGATAAACACACGACACCTCAGCCATACACGAAGCTCCGTCATACACGAACCTCGGTCATACACGAACTTCAGTCATACACGAAGCTCGATCATATACGAAGCTCAGTCATACACGGAGCTCGGTCATACACGAAGTTTGGTCATACATGAAGCTCGGTAATACACGAAGCTCGGTCATACATGAAGCTCGGTTATACATGAAGCTCGGTTATACATGAAGCTCAGTCATACATGAAACTCGGTAATACACCAAACTCGGTCATACACGAAGCTCAGTCATACACGAAGCTCGATCATACACGAAGCTCAGTCATACACGAAGCTCGGTCATACACGAAGCTCGGTCATACACGAAGCTCGGTCATACATGTGTCAGCATAGTTGCTGGTCCCCTACATGTGTTGTATAGCTTATCTGAGTATCATATTTAGTACCATCTATATGTTTTACATACACGATCCCTTGCTAGGCCTAGTGACTAGTTTGTATGACGTCACATGATCCCGCATGAGTGCGTGGGACACGCTGCATCAGCCTCAGTTCTCAGTAATCCAAGCAGGTGACAGGACAGGCAGTTTGGGCTCTCCCCCTTCATACTCTACTAATACAAGTGTTACCATCCAACAAGTGTGTTTATCTCCAACCTTCATATCTCCTACGAACCCCCACTACAAATGGTGTCAGCAGAGGACCCATAATTCTGACGATTAAGGCGATTTCTGGAGATAAATTTCTACTGAGTCAGCCGCCATTTTAGGCCTCCTGAGTTGGGTGATGCTCAACGTCCCAAGCCAGCTACCCCGAGCAAGCTTTCACCAGCCTATTGCTTCCTACTTACTGGTCAGTCTCTGTGTATTAGTTTTATTTGCTTATTTGCATTACTTCTGAGGGGTTGACCCAGATTTGCAAAGTAAGCCAAGCCACCAAGACAGTCTGTGGGGGGAGGTCCAGCCCAGCTCTACACCGTTCCAGCCTTGCCTGCTAAACCAGCTTTCCACCCCTGCTCTGGTCATCGTTACAGTTGTCAAGCCAGTCTGTGTGAAGGGTTAAGCCAAGCCAGCCAGCAACTAACCCAGGTTACTTAACCCAGTACTCAAGCAAGCCACGTGGGTACAGTCTTCTCCAACACTTTGTGCTTCCAGTTCTAGCTGTTCTGAGTGCTTTATCATCCCTGTGGTGCTGTGGTATTTTGTGGGTTTTTAAGCCACCTGGCTTAGAATATTTTCATGCCTAGTGCGGGTGTCCCCAGAGTGGCTTACACTGCTCATTCCATAGGCCCAGTGACCATGCGGTGTCTCACCGCGCTGCCTCACTCACCACATCCACCATCACCACTGTTTTTTTTTGTACCCTTATCATGGGTTCTAGCACCATATTTTACAGACCACATAGTGGGTCAAGAGACAAGAGTGTTCCTTCATCCCTGTGTGCCTACGTAAAAGTCTCCTGTGTGAGTCTATCGTCGATTTAAGCGCAAATTCAACGTGTTTGAGAGTAGTGGAGTGCTGTGCCAGCTACAACTAACCTTCCTTACCTCCCAAACTACTCATTCTCCACCAACGTCGCTACAGTGATAATATTTTTATAGAGACATTTGTGAGTGTTGAGACAATTTTGCAGTGATTCCTGGGTGAAATTTCTTTTCAGTGACTCTTGATCAGTGTTCATTATATCCTGTTTGCAATATTTTTTTTTTTCTCTTTCTTCAGTGTTAATTTTCGTGCTTTATTTTTATGTCTGTTTTTTTTGTGTTCATTTTTTTATATACGTGAAGTAAGTACTTTAATGTTTTTCCATGTTGTGTGCAATATATAAGCAGTATAACCTTGTGTTTACACTTTACAATTATCTTGTGTTCACAGTATTGTGTTCCTTGTCTAGTAATTTATGCAGTGAAGTAATTCAGTAACTTGTTACCTTATATTTTGCATCACAACTCAGTGTTGTCTCAGTTATTTTTTTTTTCTCCCAGCATTTGTGTACTTGCTATTTGTGTCATTTGCTATTTTTTTTTCTGTGTGTTGAACATTCTTGTGTTAATTCCCTTCATTTAGCCAGTGTCTAATTTGTCTTATCTCCACAGACAATAGTGCCATTATTTTGTTTGAAGCAAGAGAATTGTTTTCCAGTTTTTCATACACCAAGTCTCATTGCAAGAAAATTCTCATAGTATTGTGCATATATTGATGTGTTTTGTTCCTGCATTATTGTAAGTGTTAACCTTTCTTTGTTTTGCATTTTTGCCTTTATTATTTTTCATATTTCATTGAACAAATTCACTCTTAGTGCAATTTTTACCTTCTTTTTAAAGTAAATCATTCTTTTGCTTGTTCAGTAAGTGTTGCTTAAGCTGCAATTAAGAGTTAAAGTGTTCAGTCAGTTCATTCCTTGATCATTTTTTTTATTGTTTTTGTAAACTGCATTTCTTGTGTGTGCATTTTTTTTTATTATTGCAATATTGACTCATTTTGCAATAATTCTTGTGTAAACATTGTGCTGCCATTAAATTTTTCTTTCAGAAATTTTTATGTAGTGTTGTGTTGTGCAGTACCTTTGATTAAAAATTCTTATTTGCAATATTGCTACAGTTTATTTCAGGGCAATATTCTGTTATTTCAGTTTCACTTTTCTTGTTCTGTGCATAATATTTTATTATTGTGTGTCATTTTATTTTATTTTTAGTGAATTGCTTTCCCGGTTTGTTTTAATTTTGCACAAGATTTATTGATTCTATTTTATAATTTTTGTTTCATTTATCATTTATTGTTGAATTCCTTTGTTGAATTGAGAGTAAAGACAACTCACTGTGCCATTAATTCAATTTAAAGTAAATTTGAGTAAATTTGATTTGAGTAAAGTACAATTTCTCTTGATTTTCAAAGTGTTGCTTATCCAGTTGAGTAATTTTATTATTTTTATGTGAGTTTTCCTTACTTACAGTGTGGCTTATGCAGAATAGTTAAGCATTTTCTTCCCATTTAAGCTTATTGTGTCATTCTCTCTATTTTACTTGCCTTTATATCCTTGAGTAAGTTCCCTGAGAAGATGTCTCAGTCACTTTTGAATGTTCACTTAGTGTATCATGCCAGTCAAAGTCAAAATGAATCAGTCAACAGTCCTAATATTCCCTTACTGACTGAAAGATAATACCTAGCCCTTGAGCAATGTGTTTGTTCTCACAGCTTGTATCTGAGATTTGTTAAAGTGCTGTGAAATGTGAAGTTCAGATTAAGTCCCTATAGATCCGTGCATTGTTTATTAACGTAGCCGAGCAGTCAGGCACTAGTAACTCTGTCACTCCCATCTGTTGATGATATTGCAGCCTATCCCTGCAATGTCTGCTAGTTCAAGTAGTAGTTTCTCCACAGGGGACGCCTTGTCAGAAAACGATTACTTGAAACTAGTAATGTCATCTCTTGCTGATGTCGCAAGCCGTTGCAGAAAGACGTCTCTGTTGCAGCTAGTGTACTCACTAGTGTGTCTGTTGTTGTTCCTAGTGTTCCAAATGGTGATCCCATCCTAGTTGATAGTAATCCTTGCAATGTAAAAAGTTGTTCTCGAGTAATCTTCACGTTGTTAACGTTTCTTTATAGCTGATACCTCGTGTCACTGTGTGCGACTCAGATTGAATACCAGTATTGTTGACTGTGTTCATTTCTTTTACCCTGTGCTTGCAGTGAGAGTTATTAGATCCGTTCTCCCTTGCTCATATTGCGTGTTACAGCGTTACTTTTTTCAACCGGGGAGAGTCATCCACTCCACCGAGTTTGTTAATTTCTCCAGTAAGAAAGAACCAATCCCTTGTGGTCTGGTGTGATTCGATTCCTGCTCCAGGAAGATCTTATTCTGACTGTGAAGCCACCAGCACCCATTAGTGACTTTGTCATGAGTCAAGAATTACTGTATCGAACAGACGAGTTGGGTACTCCAAGTAGAAGAGTATACCAGTTAGTAATTCCACAGTCACTAGTGAATGTAGCTCTACAGCTAGTTCACGATGCACCAGGTGTTGCACACCCTGGTATGGATCGTTCAGTAAAACAAGCCAGAATGAAATACTTTTGGCCATGTATGGCAACTGACATTTCCGAGTATGTTAAGAAATGTAGTGTCTGTATGAAGCATAAAGGAAATGTCAATGGTCCTAATCCAATCCAGGTGTATTCAACTACTAGCGAACCGTGGGAAAGAGTAGAGTTGCACTAGATTTGTTAACCAATTTTAAATGTTCCCTCCAAGACAACAAACATCTGTGTGTTATGGTAGACCATTTCACTAGATATTGTGAGTTAGTTCCTATTGCAGATAAGACTGCCGAGACAGTAGCTAAAGCGTTTAAAGAACGCATTATCTGCAGGCATACCACCCTTAAGTCCTTAGTAACAGATAATGGAGGTGAATTCTTTAATGAGATTCTTGAAAATTTGTGTACCTTGTACATGATCTCTAAATCCACCATTGTTCCTCATCATCCTGCCAGCAATGGGTTAGCAGTGATGAATGGTTTGAAAAACCGACATGTTGAAGATTGAGACACTTACGCAGCATATAGGAATCTTTATTCAGGAAACGTTTCGCCACCCAGTGGCTTCATCAGTCCAATACAAAGAGGAAGGCGTAAGGAGAGGAGGAGAATGAGGTAATCAGTCCCTCAACCTGCAGTCGATGTGTTCAGTCCATCAATCTTGTAGAATGTACAGCATAGGGCCGTAGACGTGGCTTATATACTGTAGTGAGGTGACGTGAAGCAGGTGGAGGCGGGGTCATAGTGGTACCATCCACTAGTCGAAGTAGGTCTTCGTCCAAAGGTTGAACAAGTGTTGAAGAATTCTTTGTAACAAGATCCCATGATGCTGCAGTGTCTGACAGTTGTGATGAATGGTTTGAAAAACCGACATGTTGAAGATTGAGACACTTACGCAGCATATAGGAATCTTTATTCAGGAAACGTTTCGCCACCCAGTGGCTTCATCAGTCCAATACAAAGAGGAAGGCGTAAGGAGAGGAGGAGAATGAGGTAATCAGTCCCTCAACCTGCAGTCGATGTGTTCAGTCCATCAATCTTGTAGAATGTACAGCATAGGGCCGTAGACGTGGCTTATATACTGTAGTGAGGTGACGTGAAGCAGGTGGAGGCGGGGTCATAGTGGTACCATCCACTAGTCGAAGTAGGTCTTCGTCCAAAGGTTGAACAAGTGTTGAAGAATTCTTTGTAACAAGATCCCATGATGCTGCAGTGTCTGACAGTTGTGATGAATGGTTTGAAAAACCGACATGTTGAAGATTGAGACACTTACGCAGCATATAGGAATCTTTATTCAGGAAACGTTTCGCCACCCAGTGGCTTCATCAGTCCAATACAAAGAGGAAGGCGTAAGGAGAGGAGGAGAATGAGGTAATCAGTCCCTCAACCTGGAGTCGATGTGTTCAGTCCATCAATCTTGTAGAATGTACAGCATAGGGCCGTAGACGTGGCTTATATACTGTAGTGAGGTGACGTGAAGCAGGTGGAGGCGGGGTCATAGTGGTACCATCCACTAGTCGAAGTAGGTCTTCGTCCAAAGGTTGAACAAGTGTTGAAGAATTCTTTGTAACAAGATCCCATGATGCTGCAGTGTCTGACAGTTGTGATGAATGGTTTGAAAAACCGACATATTGAAGATTGAGACACTTACGCAGCATATAGGAATCTTTATTCAGGAAACGTTTCGCCACCCAGTGGCTTCATCAGTCCAATACAAAGAGGAAGGCGTAAGGAGAGGAGGAGAATGAGGTAATCAGTCCCTCAACCTGCAGAACGAACCAATAAGAAAGTACTTGTTGTCTTGAGAGCCACTATCAACCCCAACAGTGAAATTGAGATGAAGTTATACCAGATGTTCAATGTGCCATAAATTCTGCTTACAATGCTTCCATAGGTGACACTCCACATTATGCATTGTACCGTGTAGACAAGCGTTTGCCTTATGAGTTGTTATATTTCACACCGAAACCCAATTATAACCCTGATGATTTCATAGCAACTCGTACCAGCATAGCTCAAAGTGTTTTTAGAAGAATCCGTGAAACACTTCATAAATCAAAGCAGAATTTACTAGAGTAACTAATAGCCGTGCTAAACCGACAAAAGTTAAAGTGGGTTCGAGAGTAATGCTGACTAATTTCAACAAAACATCCGCAATGCCTAAGCTTGATCAAAAGTTTGTTGGCCCTTATCGAGTAGTTGAACATATCAATGGCAATAAGTATAAGTACAAAGAATCGCATTTAGATCATATGAAGTTAGTATGTGATGTTGATGATATTGCTACCCAGACTAATGTGACAGTCGCTGACAATCCTCTTGACTCTGTACCCTCTACCTCTAATATTCAGTCATATCATCAACCCAAGTGTCGTTATTCTTTACGTACACGACAAGTAATAAGAAACTCACAAGTATCTTTTGTAGATACTCGTTCAGATCTCCCTCAGTCAAGGTATGTGTTAGCCATTGCAAAGGAATTCGATCCTCCCAAAGATGATAACCATTCTGCATATGTAAATCTTACCCTCGCAGAGTTGTGTTTAAATGTACATAGTCTGTATAATTAGATGATCAAGATGAATGAAGTTGTCTACTGTGTGTTTTGTTATTAGCTGATCAGTTTTTCAGAATTTTTTTTTTTGTGTTCACGTTCCCTCCGAATTCTGAGAATTTAGCAGTAATGATCTGTGTGCGCCAGATCTGCCTTTGCTGTTAATTACTTTCACCTTTGTAAATATATTTATTCTTCCTCAGAATCCATAGAGTGCATGAATACAGATCGATCAATCAATTCAATCCTTTATTATACTATGATTTGTATTTATAATTCATAATGCATTACATTAACACCCATTATGTTAACATCCATTACGATACCGTCCATTAGTTCTAAGTTACTTATGTCTTTGCTATTGTATAGAATCAGCCCAGACCCACCTGCCTGTTCAGCCTATAGCATAGTATTGTATGTTGAGACGACATATGTAACATAACCGAGCTGTCAGCATAGTTGCTGATCCCCTACATGTGTTGTATAGCTTATCTGAGTATCATAGTTAGTACCATTCATATGTTTTACATACAGGATCCCTTGCTAGGTCTAGTGACTAGTTTGTATGACGTCACATGATCCCGCGTGAGTGCGTGGGACGCGCTGCATCAGCCTCAGTTCCCAGTAATCCAAGCAGGCGACAGGATAGGCACTTTGGGCTCTCCCCCTTCATACTCTACTAATATAAGTGTTACCATCCAATAAGTGTGTTTATCTCCAACCTTCATATCTCCTACGAACCCCCACTACACACGAAGCTCGGTCATACACGAAGCTCGGTCATACATGAAGCTCGGTCATACACGAAGCTCGGTCATACATGAAGCTCGGTCATACACGAAGCTCGGTCATACATGAAGCTCGGTCATACATGAAGCTCGGTCAGACATGAAGCTCGGTCATACATGAAGCTCGGTCATACATGAAGCTCGGTCATACATGAAGCTCGGTCATACATGAAGCTCGGTCATACATGAAGCTCGGTCATACATGAAGCTCGGTCATACATGAAGCTCGGTCATACACGAAGCTCGGTCATACATGAAGCTCGGTCACACATGAAGCTCGGTCATACATGAAGCTCGGTCATACATGAAGCTCGGTCATACACGAAGCTCGGTCATACATGAAGCTCGGTCATACATGAAGCTCGGTCATACACGAAGCTCGGTCATACATGAAGCTCGGTCATACATGAAGCTCGGTCATACATGAAGCTCGGTCATACACGAAGCTCGGTCATACATGAAGCTCGGTCATACATGAAGCTCGGTCATACATGAAGCTCGGTCATACATGAAGCTCGGTCACACATGAAGCTCGGTCATACATGAAGCTCGGTCATACATGAAGCTCGGTCATACATGAAGCTCGGTCATACATGAAGCTCGGTCATACACGAAGCTCGGTCATACATGAAGCTCGGTCATACATGAAGCTCGGTCATACATGAAGCTCGGTCATACACGAAGCTCGGTCATACATGAAGCTCGGTCATACATGAAGCTCGGTCATACACGAAGCTCGGTCATACATGAAGCTCGGTCATACATGAAGCTCGGTCATACACGAAGCTCGGTCATACACGAAGCTCGGTCATACATGAAGCTCGGCCATACATGAAGCTCGGCCATACATGAAGCTCGGTCATACATGAAGCTCGGTCATACATGAAGCTCGGTCACACATGAAGCTCGGTCATACATGAAGCTCGGTCATACATGAAGCTCGGTCATACATGAAGCTCGGTCATACATTGAAGCTCGGCCATACATGAAGCTCGGTCATACATGAGCTCGGTCACACATGAAGCTCGGTCTACATGAAGCTCGGCCATACATGAAGCTCGGCATACATGAAGCTCGGTCATACATGAAGCTCGGTCACACATGAAGCTCGGTCATACATGAAGCTCGGTCATACACGAAGCTCGGTTCATACATGAAGCTCGGTCATACATGAGCTCGGTCACACATGAAGCTCGGTCATACATGAAGCTCGGTCACACATGAAGCTCGGTCATACATGAAGCTCGGCCATACATGAAGCTCGGCCATGCATGAAGCTCGGTCATACATGAAGCTCGGTCACACATGAAGCTCGGTCATACATGAAGCTCGGTCATACACGAAGCTCGGTCATACATGAAGCTCGGTCATACATGAAGCTCGGTCACACATGAAGCTCGGTCATACATGAAGCTCCGGTCACACATGAAGCTCGGTCATACATGAAGCTCGGTCATACATGAAGCTCGGTCATACATGAAGCTCGGTCATACATGAAGCTCGGTCACACATGAAGCTCGGTCATACATGAAGCTCGGTCATACATGAAGCTCGGTCATACATGAAGCTCGGTCACACATGAAGCTCGGTTCATACATGAAGCTCGGTCATACATGAAGCTCGGTCATACATGAAGCTCGGTCACACATGAAGCTCGGTCATACATGAAGCTCGGTCACACATGAAGCTCGGTCATACATGAAGCTCGGTCACACATGAAGCTCGGTCATACACGAAGCTCGGTCATACATGAAGCTCGGTCACACATGAAGCTCGGTCATACATGAAGCTCGGTCATACATGAAGCTCGGTCATACATGAAGCTCGGTCATACATGAAGCTCGGTCATACATGAAGCTCGGTCATACATGAAGCTCGGTCATACATGAAGCTCGGTCATACATAAAGTTCAAGGCTCCATAACCAACAGGCTTCTCTACTCCATTTTTGTTTTGTTTTTTGCTTTCTTTTTCAGGATTTTGAAGTAGGAATATATTTTTTAATCTGATCATTCTCGTAGTCACAATGTTTTACAGTCGAAATAATTTTTTTTTTTAGGCCAAATTTTTTTTTTTGAGGCAGCAACAAGAACAACAACAAAATCCACAATACCGACCGACAGACATTTCGGTCCCTTCGACGGACCGAAACGTCATCCCAGCTCCACTTTGCTAATTACTTCATCAAAAATTACGCTAATGCCATTAGCAATGTCATCGTCATTAAGAACCTTATTTAATCGTACAAGAAATGGCACAATTTCGCGATGCTCAAGACTGCTTCTCGCGGAGTTATTGCGCAGCGCTGATCACACCCTCGGACTACCCGGGGGTAAACGATCGTTGCTTCAGGAGCTAAGACGGCAGCCCACGGCTCTAAAACCACATACTCACAAGCCTTCTCGTAGACCTGAGTGTTCTGGATGCCCAGACCACAGAAGATAGCGAAGGCCTCAAAGGTGTTGATGTCGTGGTCCGTAAAGTGAAGACCGTTCTCCTGTGGAATGGACACCAGTTAATAATAATAATAATATAATAATAATAATATAATAATAATAATAATAATATTATTATTATTATTATTATTATTATTATTATTATTATTATTATTATTATTATTATTATTATATTATTATTATTATTATATTATTATTATTATTATTATTATATTATTATTATTATTATTAAGCATTTAATCTTTATGGGTTATAGTGTTTACTTTGGTAATAATAATAATATAATAATAATAATAATAATAATATAATAATAATAATATACACTGCTACTTCTATTACTACTAATAATATTAATAATAATAACAGCAACAGCAACAACAACAACAACAATAATAATAATAATAATAATAATAATAATAATAATAATAATAATAATAATAATAATAATAATAATAATAATAATAAATACCTTGTTGATCATCTGGGCCACACCGAGGATCTTTCTCGAAGAGTTGAAGATTGGGATAGTTAAGACGCTGTGAGTAACAAACTCACCATCCCTGAGAGTCGTGCCCAGCCACTCAACCACGTCGTTGATGTTTACAGTCTGTGGGAGACTGACAGTGGTTAGCGGTCACCATAGACTGCAGTCCTGGACTGTACGTGGATCGTTATTAAGACTTTATATGGGTCTTCAAGGCTGCAAATCAACTTAGGAATCGTGATTATTTTTAATTCCTAACAGATTCAAATTCCTCTGAACGAAACTACCTGGATTTCCTACTCATTTCTGCAACGTTGCAAGCTGTGGAAGATGTGTTGATTGCAATATGAAGAGGCCTAGAGCTATCATTCAACACACACACACACACACACACACACACACACACACACACACACACATACACACACACACACACACACACTGGATCCATGGACAAAACAGAATCAACACTCGTCGCCAAACTTC